CACGTGGGATCTCGTTTTCAAATTAAGTCCTAGCGCCGTTCGTTACAGAGCTTAGAATCCAATGTGGAGGACCTCAACCTAGTCGCTCTTTCCTTGTGTTCGTTTTCGTCGCGTGTACGATAGTGTAACCTTTTTTCCTAATAATGCTCGGTGCAACGACAATCGCTACACAAATTTTTAGGCCAATGAGGCGCCACCACCATCCACAAGATGACAATCAACTTGTTAAAAGACAATAACAATGAGTACGGGGGAAAGTGAGTACCAATAATGACAAAACCAACGCCTACAAATCCTGAGCACCTTGTTTTGAGAGAAAAATAGTAGCGCCTGCCGATCTTGGCGATGACTTCTCGTACGTCCCACTCACATACATGTGTCATTTCCTTGTTATACAAGAACGGGCGTGGCGGGGATACAAAAAGTCGACGTCCGTTCGGATCAGGGTAATCGGTCCACATGGCATAAGCGAGGCTGATTGCGTATGTCTAATCAATCCGTTATTTTATCAAAGGAACAGATAGACACCACACTATGCATTATCTTACATCCATCGTGCAAACCGATCCAAGGCTTAAAGTCCATGCAATCTAATCAGTTGAGAGAACGACGATCCTTCATACGTGCTAGTAATTAAGCATGCATCAAAATGATTACATCAGATTCCTAATTCGTTCCCTTCATAAGGGTAACAACTCAGTCAATACATATGTATGAGAGATCACTCATGCATTAACCATCAGATACCGAGGAGTGGAGAGAGGGACGGGATAAGATCACTTGATTTTGTTGGTCTCTTTAAATTCAACGATACTCGTCCTCGTGAGATCCGATTGAATTCAACGAGACGAGCAGGACAGAACCTCAGAAACTGGTAGGGACAAGGAAGTTATAAAAACATTCAAACATTCGTGAAAAAAATGTTAGGGGAGAGAGAGAGAGAGAGAGAGAGAGAGAGAGAGAGAGAGAGAGAGAGAGAGAGAGAGAGAGAGAGAGRCCAAAGGAGGTGGACGGAGCCGTAGCTTGACTGAAGAAGGGGACAAACGAAAAAGGAGTTATGAGCACACAAATAGATATGAGAACCACAAACAACTGTCCACCATGAACTTCAGCTTCCAATTTAAGAAGAGGAGGAACCGAAGATCAAATGCGTTGTGCAAGGGACCCTCCCGACTGCGTCACGCAGGATTTGTGGTGAGACTTTATCCTTTGTCGCGGCAATGGAGCTTCCGTCCCCGCTCTGGCCGAGTGCACCAGCCATACCTCTCGCGAACCCCTACGACAGGATAGGGCCACACCAGGTTCAACTTCAATAAAACACAACATTTTAGATGTACCTGCGCTGGATTCTGGCAATATACGTCCACCATCTTGATGTCTTGGGACCCCTGCATACTCCACACACGTGTAGAAAGTTCTGCAGCGGAGCGAGGCCCTAAGAGATAGACGAAAAAATGGGCCTGGCTCCACTAGTCAGTATTCTACATGCATTTGTGCACCTTCCTGACCAGGTGCGTCCGGAGTATACCTTTCAGTTTGTCCAGATGCATGTAGAATGTTGTGTAGTGCAGCGAGGCCCAATACATACGTAGTCGGCCGTAGATAAACGGAGATCGGCGCCCATACATCGTTGTGGAGCGGAGGTGGAAGTCGAATTAGGGCCAGAGCTGCAGCACCGGCCATCCGCCAACCGCCAACATTCTGGACGGAAGGTCTTTCCAAATGCATTCAAATCCTTGGTAGATGACGAGTGGTGCAACTACGGTAGCCCCTTGGAATTACGGTCCTGGCAGAGGGTGGGTGCTCCTCATCCCCGCGTGTGCACGCCTTCGATGGTGCAGACTCCGGTCTTCACCCGTGCACCCGAACATAACGCACCCTGAAAACGAATGTATATAGACGATCTTTCCAGTTCGGTACAGCCATAATCAGGGTGCGTTGTGTTCGGGGGAAGACGGTCGTGGACCGTACCGGAGGCCAACGTCCAAAGTGTCGGATCCATGTGTCCTCCGTCGTACTCTCTTATGCATGCCGCACAGTACACGGGCCGTGCTTCACTCTGACTCGTTGCGGTGAACTTGTCTTTTCTCCGGCCGTCGCATACGGTAATCGTTCCAGTCCGGCAGGGACCGGTTTCTGCGGTCCTTCGACAGCAACTCGACGCAACCCTAACGTCCCACACCAGCGCTGCCACACACCTCCCGCGAGAGAGGAGCAGAGTAGCTCGCGATCGTGTCGACAAGTACGTGCGCCTTTCGCGAAAGGTGTTCTGTCGTTCCGCCCCCCAACCCCGCCCTGCCCTCTGTCTGTGTGTGTGTGTGTGTGTGTGTGTGTGTGTGTGTGTGTGTGTGCATTCGTCGCTCTCTCTCTCTCCCCCTCCCCGTGTGTGTGTGTGTGTGTGTGTGCGCGCGCGTTCCTCTCTCTCTCTCTCTCTCTCTCTCTCTCTCTCTCCCTCTGTACTTGTGTGCGCCTCTCTCCGCTTTCCTCCATCTCAACCTTCTTTGTTGACCGCCTTCTTCATTTCTTGTTCGCATCTCTCTCTCTCTCTCTCTCTCTCTCTCTCTCTCTCTCTCTCTCKCTCKCTCKCTCGCTCTCTCTTTCTCTCTCTCTCTCCCCTTTCTTTTTTCTCTGTCTTTCTTCCTTTCTTTCTTTGTCTTTCTTCCTTTCTTCCTCTCTTTTCCCTCCTCCCCGGTACCTATGTATATATGTATAGATATGTGTTTGTATATATGTATATATCGTCAAATAGAACTGCCCGGTAAACCGTAGGCAGAGAGGGAGAAGAGGACAACAAACGAGGGGCTGTGACAAACTGTTTCGTCGGAGTTTCACCGACTCATCAGGAGGCTGAACCCTYAACARTCTGTAGAATCCCCTCACTGATTACACTGTAAGTGATAATCCACCTTAACCAAAATCAAAGTAGACTATCACTCACCCACACCAGATGGAAAACTCTACAGATATATATATATATATCAGTCTATGACGATATATATATCAGTCTATGATTGTGTATGGGTTCTTACGAGAGAGGCAGAACATCTTTGTTGTTGATTTATGAATGATCATGATTCAGTAAAATTGAATGAGTGAATAATGACGGGGTATCAGCAGTCGAGGGCGCCTGTTCAAATCAGTGTGTGCACGGAGGAGATCTGAAGTCCGATGTACGGATCCATAACTACTGATAATTGAATAGTGACGAGGTTATCATCAGGTTTTATTATTACCGTCATTTAGTATATTATTATTATTATGTTTTTGTTCAGTAGGGAAAAAAAAAAAAACCGGCATCTTATTTTTGCTTTTATCCAGTGTAACCTCGTCACGGGCGCATAATACGTATTTTCTTATCTATTTATGTCTTTTTATTTATCTATTTATTTGTTTATAGATAGTTGAGGAGACTGAAAACATTATGGCTCAGTTTTATTTTTTTAATAATATTTGTCTTACTTTTCTGCGGTCGTCACAGTTTTCCAGGAGTAATCTTAGCTTAACAGTGGAAAACGTTTTTTGTGATTTTTTTGCTCACATCTCCCTGTATCTAGTGCGCATGGTGGTAAGCTAAGTTTACTCCTGGAAAACTGTGACACTCCACACAAGTGTAGATGTACCTGCTCTGGATTCTGGCAATATACGTCGACCATCTTGATGTCTTGGGACCCCTGCATACGCCACACACGTGTAGAACGTTCGGTATATCTCCTGGAAAACCGGAAATAGGGAGATATTAGTTAAGCTGAGCTTACTGTAGAAGGAAGGAAACGTCAGCGTGGGTATTTTCGACAATACTAGTATATCGCTGACGTGTCCTTCCTCCTATATATATATATATTTTTTTTTTTTTGGGAAGTTCCTCCTATGCATCGTCAAACAGTCCTCTTATCTATATATCGTCACAAGCATATATATGTATATCATCATTATATGCACTTATGTAAACGTGTATGTATATTGTCACACTCCACGTGGCCGGGCATGTACGTAAGAGGAGGTGATGGCGGAGCTTCCCTTCCTTACTTCTTTTCCTTTCTTTTTTGTTTTTTGTTTTGTTTTGTCTTGTTTTGCCTTTGCGCTCCGATACACGGTGTGACGATATATTGTCACACAATGAATTGGAGAGCAAAGGCGGAAAAATACAGAACAAAAAAAAGGAAAGAAGTAACGAAGGGAAGCTCCGCCTGTTCATCACCTCTTACGTACAAGGCCAGCCACGTGGATGACAGCTTGAGCGCTGGCTGGCCCCATATCCACGTGTGTCACAAGGACCCACTTGCACGCAGCCAAAAGGCAAAGAAGGAGGTAAAGAAAAGGAGGAAATCAAACCTCACAGAGGCAAGACAAAGAGAAAGAGAGAGAGAAAGAGATCCAATCAAACAAAGGACGAGGGAAGAGGAAGGCCTATCAGTTAAACAGAAGTGCCCGGCAAACCGTAGGCAGAGATGCAGAAGAGAGAGGACAACTATATCGTCAAACAGAGGAGCTGCCCGGGAAACCGTAGGCAGAGAGGGAGGGAGGGAGGGAGAAGAGGACACAAACGAGGGGCTGTGACAAACTGTTTCGTCGGAGTTTCACCTACCTACTCAGCAGGAGGGTGAACCCTATATATCATCACATGAATATAAGAGTGCAAAAGCGAAAAAACAAAAAAAGAACGAGCTCGTTTTTTTTTTATATGTATATGAATATATTTGCACAACCAGCGCACGTAGTTTAACCCCCTCCTCGTTAATCGCAGCACGCTTCACAAAAACTCGTCCAAAAGAGAAGATGAAAATCGTGCAAAAAGACTCCGCGCGATGTTTTTTTTTTTTTTTTTCTGGTTCCCCCCCTTCTGACCCCCCCCCTGGTGGTTGTCGCGGTGGTTGAGATGATGACGTACTTCTAGCTTTTGACCCCTACTTGCCGAACTTATGATAGACTTAGCTTTTTTTTTTTTTTTTTCTGGTTCCCCCCCTTCCCCCCCCCCCACCTTCCGCCCTGGAGGCGCCATTCTATTCGTACGGCGCTTGAGGACCTTAGATAATCTCCTTCCCGCTCAATCAGCAAAAGGATAGATGTTCGCAAAAGAAAAAAGAAAAAGAAAAAGAGAAAGGAAAATGGAGAAGGATCTCGGAAAAAAAACCCTTGTCCTCTGCGTCCTCCTCTTCCTTCTACACATCTCCTTACCCAGCCACCTACCCCTCCTCCCTCCACCTCTCTCCTTCCCTCCCTCCCTCCCTCCTTCCCTCCCTCCCTCCCTCCCTTCTACTCCTTCCGACTCCCCATCCACCACTCTCTTATCGCACTCCTCATCCACCACTCTCTTAATCGCACTCCTCATCCACCACTCTCTTATCGCACTCCTCATCCACCACTCTCTTATCGCACTCCTCATCCACCACTCTCTTATCCCCTTTCCTCCATTTGCTCCTTTTCCTCTCTTGTCCTCCTGCTCCTCCTGCTCCTCGTGCTCCTCGTGCTGCTCCTGCTCCTCCTGCTCCTCGTGCTCCTCGTGCTGCTCCTGCTCCTCGTGCTCCTCCTGCTCCTCCTGCTCCTGGTCCTGCTGTCCATCCTCCTCATCATCTCGGGACTATATTGTCATCACACCGTTTTCTACACTGTCGGAGCTCATGGCGTCCTCCTCCTCCCTCCCTCCCTCCTCGTAGCTCATGGCGTCCTCCTCCTCCCTCCCTCCCTCCTCGTANCTCCCTCCCTCCTCGTAGCTCATGGCGTCCTCCTCCTCCCTCCCTCCCTCCTCGTAGCTCATGGCGTCCTCCTCCTCCCTCCCTCCCTCCTCGTACTTTTTCACATCTACGGCGGTTAATGTTTCGTCAAAGTCAGGATGAAGAAACGAGGAGGAGGAGGAGGATGGAGGGGTGAGGAGGTGGAAGATGGGTGGAGGAGGGCGGAGGAACTACGTAGCAGCAGAAGCAGGACGAACAGTAAGAGGAGGAGGAGGAGGAGGAGGAGGAGGAGGCGAAGGCGGGAACACGAGATCGAGGAGGAGGAGAAGGTAGCTAGGTAGGAGTATGACTGCTAGTCAGAAGGAACCGCCCATAGGTACCTTCTCGGGTTCCCTCCTCCTCGATCTCGGGTTCCCGCCTCCTCCTCCTCGATCTCGGGTTCCCGCCTCCTCCTCCTCCTCGTCCTTCTCCTTCGCATCCTCTTCCTCTTTCTCCTGCTTCTGCTGCTACGTAGCTCCTCCACACATCTCTTCTACCTCCTCCTTCCTTTATCCTCCTCCTCCCTCCTCCTCCTCCTCGTCGTTTCTTCATAGCCCCTCGACTTGCCACTTGCCAGATGTGAGAAATGGGGAGTGAATATTCTCGTAAAAGGCGCCACTGTTACGTGTGGCGCGAGTAGCGGGACCACAACACCCCCCCCCACAAAAAAAAAAAAAGAAGGATATCCAATCAAGGGGGTTCGAATCCTTTCCATTTCGATTTCCGGATTTCAAAGCAAAAGGCTTCGCAGAAGTCGGGTGGAAAGGTTTCGAACCCTCGCCTGCTTTTGAGCAGTTCAAAGTCCCAAAAAGAGCTCTCTTTTTGGGACGTCGAACTGCTAAAAAACAGGCGAGGGTTCTTTTTTGGACCTCGAACGTCTGAAAAGCAGGCGATGGTTCTTTTTGGGACCTCGAACTGCTCAAAAGCAGGCGAGGTTTCGAAACCTTTGCACACGACTTCTGCGCAAAAGCCTTTTGCTTTGAAATCCGGATATCGAGATGCTTTCCAGAAGAGACGTTTATAACAGGTTTTGGAGTGCGCAAAGTACTTCCCATGAATGCTGACGAGGACGAGGAGGAAGAGGAGGAAGAGGAGTAGGAGGAAGAGGAAGAGGAAGAAGAGGAAGAGGAGGAGGAAGAGGAAGAGGAAGAGAAGAAGAGTTTGACGAGCTGAGGAACGAGTAGAAAGAGGAGGAAGAGGAGGAAGAGGAGGAAGAGGAGGAAGAGGAAGAAGTAGTGGAGGAAGAAGGGGAAGAAGAGGAGTTTGACGAGGTGAGGAACGAGTAGAAAGAAGAGGAAAAGGAGGAAGAGGAGGAAGAGGAGGAAGAGGAGGGAGGAGGAAGAGGAAGAAGTAGTGGAGGAAGAAGGGGAGGAAGAAGGGGAGGAAGAGGAGGAAGAACAGGGGAAAGAAGAGGAGGAAGAAGAGGAGGAAGAGAAGAAGAGGAGGAAGAAGATGAGGAAGAAGAGGAGGAAGAAGAGGAGGAGGAGGTTGACGACAACAAAAGAAAATGATTGGAGGAACGAAAACGTGAAAGGGATCACCATAATCTCGTCCTTCCCTTCATCCTCTAAAACTTTTCACGTGGACAGCATCATTGAACGAGTAGAAAGAAGAGGAAGAAGAGGAGGAAGAGGAGGAAGAGGAAGAGGGAGGAGGAAGAAAAAGTAGTGAAAGAAGAAGGGGAGAAAGAGGAGGAAGAAGATGAGGAAGGAGGTTGACGACAACAAAAGAAAATGATTGGGGGGAATGAAAACGGGAAAGGGATCACCATAACCTCGTCCTTCCCTTCATCCTCTCAACCCTTCACGCGGACAGCATCATCAGGCGACAGATTATCGGCGTCGTCTCAACTTTTCACGCTGACAGCATCATCAGGCCACAGATTATCGGCGTCGTCATCGTCATCGTCATCATCATCATCGTCCCACACACATACGTCTCCTCTTCCACGCCTCCCTCCTCCTCTTCTTCCTCTTTTATCATCGTCGGTATCACGAAGCATTGGCGCTGTTTCTCTTCATCGTCGACGCTTTTCCACTCCACCTTCCCTTCTTCCCCCCCCTCCACTCCCCTCTCAACCACTCTTAACTCCTTGTCGGCGTCCTCTTCGTCGTTGATCATCATCGTCATCATGTCGTCGTTGAAATGGAGAAGGATGGAGACGATGAAGAGGTTGATGTTTTCATCTGTCTCCAGCTCGACTTCGTCATCATCTCCATCATGACCTTGAAGACTCTTCATTACTTCATGAACAAATAAAACAATTAAAGAAGGAAAAACCTCGGTGTGTCTACTCCTACTCCCCTCTCCCCCGATCTCATCGAAGCGTCTAAGTGCATTCCTCACCCCTTGCTCATTATCACCCTCCTCATCACCCTTTCCTCATCATCACCCTTTCCTCCTCGTCACCCTTTCCTCATCATCACCCCTTTCCTCATCATCGCCCTCGTCATGCTCATCGTAATTATGGTCGTCATCATGGTTGTGATTACTGTTGTCGAACTTCCTCCTCCACCCACCCTGCATCTCATTGTTCTTGTCATCTCGAGGAGGATGGAGGGATGATGATGATGGGGGGCAAAGGAGGAGGAAGTACCGAGAAGTGGAGCCGGGAAGCAAGAGCAGGAGGAAGAAAGAGAGGAAAAAGAGGAAGAGGAGAAGAGGAAGACGTGGCATAATAATAATAATAATAATAATAATAATAATACTCCTTTGACCAGGTAAGTTAGATGCATACTGCCGCTATTTGGACATCGTGAACCGAAATGGGCAGGCCCTACCAGGTTCTCGCCAAAAACAATACCGTATTGGATTTTTTTTTAATCAAATTAGGTGAACGCGTCCAAGTTAGAGCAACGGCGAACCGATTTGGAATTTGGAAGAAGCTTCTTGGACCAGCAGATCGGAATTGGATTTTTTTTTAATCAAATTAGGTGAACGCATCGAAGTTAGATAAACGGCGAACCGATTTGGAATTTCGTAGAAGCTTCTTCGACCGGTAGATTGGAATCCGACATGTAGTCCAAGCGTTTTAGATTCTTGTAGAAGCTTCTTGGACCGGTAGTTCAGAATAGGACATCTTGTGAACCGATATGGACAGGTATTCTAGAAACTTGGACAGACCCACTGTGCCCTTCGTCAAAGGACGGAACGATTTAGACTGACGAGCGCATAAATTGGTGGGGCCCACAGAAAGTCGTGCGTCGCTCACGTGTGTCCTGCGCACATCCACCTAGGTACGGCTACCCACTTGCATGCGCTCTCGCGTGTGCTGCGTGCATCCATCAACCTGCATTCACTTCCGCCGAGCATCGACCCACTGGCCTTGTGCGATCACGTGCCTGAGATGCGGGTCACCTGCCTGAGATGCCGTTCACGTGCCTGAGATGCCGTTCACATGCCTGAGATGCCGTTCACGTGCCTGAGATGCCGTTCATGTGCCCGTGGGTTCGATGATCTGATTGCACAAGAGAACCCACGTGCATGCACTCTCGATGATCTTTCGCCTCTGAACATCGTCAATGCGGTTGTACCTGCTATGATCTTTCGCCTCTGAACATCGTCAATGCGGTTGTACCTGCCTCTCGCTTAGGTGGATGTGCAAAGGATGGATTAGAGAGGTGACACGAAACTTCGGCAAAGCTAATCGAGGCGAAGTTCTAGGTCGACAGTTTATGGGAGTAGCAGGCCCGTGGTTCAGACGCATGTGACTAACATGCAAAATCGATTCCACTAAATTGATATCTTTGTTGGTCCCGATGGTGTACGCAGAATCTCAAATCGGTCGACTGTTGAACTAAATGTGGTATTGGCAATACTAGTTTGTTAAATCAATCTGCCTAACTCTGTCAGGCGTCCAAACTGTTAAATCATTCTGTCCAAAATGGTCATCATCTATCCCAACCTATATCCAGTATGTCCAAAATGCTCATGGTTTCTCCCAACCTAAATCTGATATGTCCAAAATGCTCATCACTTATCCCAACCTATATCGGCTGTCCAAATTGGTTCCGATCATGTACTAAATAGGAAAATCGAACTGACCAATTTGGTTTGACGATTGTCCAATTGAATTTTTGTTTGTCCAAATCGCTTCGCCTTGGTCTCAACTTACCTGGTCAAAGGAGTAATAATAATAATAAGAAGAAGAAGAAGAAGAGGAAGAAGAAGAGAAGAAGGTGATGGAGGAGATGATTGAGGGTGAAGAGGGCGACGACAAGGAGAGGGAGTGAAAGGAGGGGGAGTGGAGTAGTAAGAAGAAAGAAAAGGAGGGTGAGGAAGAGGAAGAAAAGGAGGAGGACGAAGAAGAAGAAGAAGAGGAAAAGAGGAAAAAGGTGGTGGAGAAGAGGATTGTGACACTGAAGATAGCGACGACAACGAAGTTGAGTAGGAGGGGGGGGAGCGGAGTAAGAAGTAGAAATGAAGGAAGAAGAAGAAGAAGACGAGGAGGAAGAAGAAGAAGAAGAAGAAGAAGAAGAAGAAGGTGGTGGTGGAGAAGATGATTGACGGTGAAGATGGCGACGACAACAAAGGGGAGTGGAAGGAGGGGGAGTGGAGTAAGAAGAAAAGGAAGAAGAAGAGGAGCAAAAGGAGGCGGAAGAGAAGGGAACAACATGACGAAGGGATGGCAACGACAACAAAGGGGAGTGGAAAAAGGGGGAGTGAAGAAGAAACGAGGAAGAGAAATAAGAAGAGGAAAAACGGCAGGAGGAAGAGGAGGGAACGGCACGATGAAGAGATGGCGACGACAATGAAAGGGAGTCGAAGGAGGGGGGGGAGTGAAGTTATGAAGAAAGAAAAGGAGGGAGAAGAAGAGGAAGAAAAGGAGGAAGAGGATGAAGAAGAAGAGGAAGAAAAGGAGGAAGAGGATGAAGAAGAAGAGGAAGAAAAGGAGGAAGAGG